CATTATTATCATTGTCATTATCACTGTAATTATTATTTGATGAAGACTTAGACATAATTTTAATTTTAGCTAAACCAAAGAGATCACCAACATCTCAAACTGTAAACGTCCTAATGAATAAAATCATGAAAGAAAAATGAAACAAAAATAGAATTCCTAGATTGGTCACAATCAGAAACAAACACAAAGAACTCTACTTCCCTATCATTCTAAAGCATAAGTTACTAATGATTTCTGGATATATCACGGTCTACTATCAAACGTCGGCAGTATTAAATGCACGATGTTAGCGAAATCCGTGATTTGAGCTATTTTCTTGCGCCACATGGAACCACACAAACTTAGAAAACAGTTCAGTGGATGAAAGAGTGCGCGATCTTGAACTATCTAATTAGCGATGAAAAATGCTGCCCTATAAACTAAATCGACGAGCTCGTATTAGAAACACTACTGTGCTATGTATGTTAACTTTAATCATCGGAAAAGTATAAATTATCATTAAAAAAATTCTTAAATCTCATTTGGACTACGCTTTGCCACTATTCTTTGAAATAAAGATTTTTAGAAAGGAAAGAATATATCGCTACCTGAGATAAAGCATAACCAATTGCATCATCGCTGTAAGCGCGTTTAAAAATTTCATGTAGTTCTTCTTTAGTTTTTGGTATTGTAATAGCTTCTTCATTCTTTGATGGCATACCAACAGTGATCTGCTTTTGACGTACTAAAAGATGAGTTACTGATTTGGATAATTCTTCCAACACACGCTTCAAGAGTCCAAACGAGAGACGAATCAAAGCCCAATTACGACTTTCACATGCCTGAAAACATGCATTTTTGCAAAAACAATACAAATGGTATTTTACATACATATATTATTAAGAATAACATAGCAATTCATTTTAGTGTATCATCTTTATTCTGTAGAAAAACAAAAACTGTTGAAATTCTGAAAAATTAAACAAATGTTAAACCTTTAGATATATTTCTTCCATTAGTGCTCGAACAGTTGCACCTTTCATGTCACTTAATTCAATATCAAAATCAGGTCCCCTAAAATATTAAGGCCATAACACTGTGAAATTCTTTCAAGTCAAGTATAACATTATATAACAAAAAAAGTAGTATAACCAAATAATGTGCACTGTTTTCTAAGTTCTAAGAAATTAATTCCTAAAACTGATTCATTTTAGTTCAGGTGTATCATTTTAAACAATGTTCTCAAATCATTTGATTTTTTGCTAAGCTAAACCGAAGTGAATTATAAAATGTATTGACTTCATTTCAATTTCACTTTAGTATGTAATTCATTTGTAAAATACCAAACCTACTGATATAAACTAAAAAACTCAGAGGATATTACTCTAAGCTAAATGAAGGAATGAAGACTTTACGTTGTTAACCATGCAATAAATACCCAACTAAACAATACTTCAGGGCGATATCTATCATATAATTAGTCAAATATTAAGTAATGTGCAAATTAATACAAAATTTTTCGCTGTTATATCATTGGAAAATTGCTATCATTCAAATATCAAGTGGAAGATAAGAAATTATAAAAGAACAAGTTGAAATATGTCTGAACACAAAGTTTTTATCACTCCCACATTAATTTGTTTGTAATTGTTATTTAAATATTATCCCATATTTATAACGATTTACAATAAATGTTATAGGGACAAAAGATTTTCATATCTAAATATCCAATTAATTGGCTAGCAAATAGATTACGTAGCGAAGTGAAAATTTCATATGACATACCAGACGGTTTAAAAAACCGGAATGAAATGACATTATCTTAAATTCGTTACTGTTTGATACATCGATATACAATATCAGGCCTTGGTGCGATAGTTTCTATACTACAACAAAATCCTATTTTTTGGCTAATATTATCACTATAATGATATAGAACTCTGTCAATACCATATATCTAATATTTATGATTACTTAATAAACCACCAAAATATTAAATAAAAAACTATTTCTCACTTCAATGAAAAACTGAACTAGGAAATACACTTTAGTAAAACTGTGAAAACTATCTTTCCTTCAGACATTACTACATAAAATTTCAAATATTAACTTACTTTTTCATCCATAAATAATGGACAATTGATGCTTGTTCATCTAAAACATTTGTGCCTCTTAACATATCAATCAAATCTTCTGTTGACATCTCGTCCATCTGTGCTGTGTCTAATCTGAAACATTACTTACCATATATTATTTGATATCAGTATCACTAGCTCGCTACACAATTATAACGTAATTACATATAACACATGCACAATCGCCTTCCTCCTCCTCTCTACAATAAATTCCTGCGCATCTAGTCACCTAAGAATGGGAGCAACAACACTAACTTTTTCTCTGAATCGACACTGGATATACTTCTGAGAGATGCTGTCGATGACGTTCGAATCTCAAATAATAAGATGTGAAAGATACTCAGCATCGATTTTAATTAATTATTACTTTAATAAAAACTCATATATAAACAGAAGCAGTTATGTATGACATTTCGCGTATACATTACTAAGTGCAAAAGGAAACAACCTAACATCTTCAAACACTTCCTTTTCCTTTGCTTTCGATTTTCTATCTTTTCTACTATGTCTCAAAGTCAGTATGTTGCAACGGCATATAAAGTTAAACATCATATTATATTATAAGCTTATGAAGCGTTAATGCTAAACAGTCATAGAAATTGTAACTATCAAAAGTCAAAAAATAAATCAACCATTAAATAAACATACCAAATTATCTGCAGAACTATGTTTTTCAGGTGATAAAAAACGTTTCAGAGATGATGACTGAGATATGCCATTTGTTTTGGACGGATTGCTTTCTTCTTGTTTACTATGGAGCAAATACAGCCTGATAAGATCTATAAAACAGTTAACAATTACAACAAAAATAGCAATAAAAGCGGGAGATATCATACCATTGGCATTAGTTGATCAGTCAGTAAAACTGTCCACCGTATCATCAGTAAGATATAAGGTGTAATGAGTACTATGTCTAAATATTAAAACTTCAAATGAAAACTTTAATGGTCACAACAGGGTCTCTTTTTGTCTGAAAAAAATTCATGAATTTTAAATCCCGATTTTTTAATTTCTTGAATATCACTACTTTGCAGTCATTTCGAAGCAATAACAGAAAAGTTTGCCTTGATCGTCGCTGTCAATCATGATACTGCGATGTCGCATTGAGGTATTGTACACAATACTGTAGCGCTCAGCATTGCTTCTCATTGATAATTGTCGAGTCGTTTGTGACGGAACGGCTAAAAACGAAACATTTTTCAACAATGGAAAAGTACATAATATTCTTTACTGCTATGATCAAATATTAAAGTGATTATCTAAGTTGATTATTTCATACCGACACTGGTAGTGCTTCTCGCTTCATCAAATAGGGTAGTGAATTTCTTTAAATAATATGATACATTTAAATTTGGTGTATGCAAAAAAATTTTATCGAAACCAGTCGGACAAATTCATTGATTTTTTTTTTCAGTTAGAATAAAAATCGAATTTTTAGACTTCTTTCCTAATTTTCATGACAACCATACCTAATCCTGAATTGTCCGAAGATGGTAGATTCCGATAAATTGCTTCTTTGTTCTGCTCATAAAACAAATCTTCTGGATTTCCATAAAATTCCAATTTGCTAACAGCTGCAGTTCGGAAAAAACCCGATACATTCTTCATGACTACTCTAAAACAAAAGAACGAGTAAAAACAATAAGCAGATTTTTTCTTTTACAAAACCATAGACATATTTATTATAAACTTATAATTTGATGTTTCTGACAATATAGAATAATATTTCATAAAATTAATAGTCTAATCCTAATCCTAAACACGTTTGCACGCAATAGATCTTTCACATCAGTATTTCAGAAATATTCAGAGATACTTAATCCAAAACACAAGAGAAGGAAGGGGAAATTATTATTACCAACATCGCATAAGATGTTATGCTGATCAATCATTCCGACTCATGATATTCAAGTATCACTGTTAAAATTTTAAATCTGCAAAAATGCAAAGTCTAATCTAAGCAATAATTTCAATATGTTATTCCCGCATTTTTCTTATTAATTCTTGTTGCACACATGATCCAATGACCTTTTTCCTTATTTATCAATAGAAATAAAAACAATATAAACATACCGAGCACCACCTATATAACCTGTTGCAATTTTTCTGATCGTTCCTATAACGGACGCTTTCATGTGAACATCAGTGAAGGAACTATCATTTGGTGTCATATCCTAAAAGATTCTTTATATCATTTCTATATTTTTACGTTATATTGAAAATTGATTAACAGAAACTAACAGAACTTATTTCATTTTTTTTTTTATTCATGCTAGGAACTTAAACACTGATGGCCTGAAAATCCGGGTTAGTATAGTATATCACATTACCATTCGAACAAAGTTTTAATGCAATAATAATCTTTCTTATTATCTCCGCTTTCTCTCATTGTTCTCCACCTTTTTTTTGTCTCTTTTTTTCTAGTCATATCTTTCTCCTTGATTGAACAGTACTTCGCGCATCGATGATCTTGGACAAAGTGTTGAATGATTAAGCACTAAATTTACTTATGATACGAGTTAAGATACGCTTAAGAGTCAAAATAATGGATAGGGCACAGCAAAACAGCAAACTTGAATGAATCCTAGATCAATACTACGAGTCATAAGCTTACTGCTTCAAGCATATTCTTCGCAACAATTAGTACTATCAATGGTCGACCAGACACTGACGTATTATTCCAACTGCTATATATATACTGAAGCTCAGAGCTCCATTCATTCATCAGAATTCGGATGTCATACATTAAATATGAACGTTTTTGATCCATAAACTGAAAAAGAAAAAACATGAATGTATTCTGTATTTATATTCTGCATATCATAAATATGCAGTAAAAACGGTATAGAATGCTGAAAAAAAAATCAGATTTATGAGTTATAATCAAAAAATTCGAAATAATAATGCATAGATAAACACCATTGAAAACTGAACAGATTATTACCTGCGGTGTAAAAATCACAAATTTTTGTCCCAGTTGATAAAGTTTACTAGTGCTGAGAACACCGATTTCTCGATCTAAGGGACGACCGGTGAGTCCCAATTTTCTAGATTCTCCTAATCTAAAAAACCACCAGTGTCAAAAAAAAACCTTGATAATACATTTTAGTAAATAAAACATGATGAAATTTATTTTAAGTAAAACTTGAAACACAAATTATTTGAAACTGTTTACGACTGTTAATGTCTTTATTCTGTTCAATTATATTGCAGCATCTAATGCCTAACTTGAAAATTGATTCCCAATGTCAAATCTATCTGACTAACTTATTTTATATCTTTTTGAAATACTTTGTGTTATCTAGCATTGCAAAAACAAGTTCTTTCCAATTTAATAAAATATGAAATAAATTTTAAATGATTTCTCACACATAATATTAAATAAAAAGATTAAAATGCAAGCCTTGAGAGAATTCGAGCAAATACGGAAGTAGGTTGAATGCAAAATACTTCATCAATTTCATCAATATTTTGCACTTGGATGCCCTGTGCCAACAATTCCTGCTGTACTTCATATGTTTCTGCCAATATTGTCACTTCAAGATTCGAAATTAAGCAATCAATACATGATAAAATGACAAAATGAATCAGTGAAAATAAATAATGCCTTAGCAACGAGTACCAATGTAGTTCAGTGATCCATTAACATACCTTGAACTTCGCAAGGAGGATGTTTTTCATATGCCGATAACCGTCTTCTTAATGGATCTAATTCAGCTGGCGTTAAGAAACCATCATGGAGTAAACAACATATGATATACAATGCTTGTGCCCATAAAAATGGTCTAAATAACTTGTTTAATGATATTTGGAACTACGCAATGTAAATAAACCAAAATGTAAGGTCAATAACGTCTTGATAACAACAGAAGTTGCAATGAACCCATAAGGTTTCTCCAAATAAAACCACATCACCACGCAAAACGAAAGAAAACAAACCTCATAAATAAGAAACATTAAGAAATTATAACCTGAAATGATTTTGCAATTTTTAACTCACATTGCTCCACACGCTTCTCTATCTTGACTGCCAGGTTGTTGCTTTTCTTCCGCTACCTTATCATATGGTACTCTATAAAGTTCAGGCACTAGTCGTAAACCATTTCTGTTGAGAACAATCTAAATTTTTTTTTGAATAAGATGAAAATGGAAAAAAAA